GCGCCCTATAAAAAAAAAAAAAAAAAAAAAAAAAAATCACACAAAAAAATAGTTTCTTCATATCTGATATAGGCCATTCTAGGTCTTTTACTAATCTTGTTGCCCTTCAGTGAAGCAGATTCTTTAACAGCTTCTATTACTTTGGCCTTGTTCTTCAAGATTATAGCTATGATGGAACGGGACATGCCTTACTGGTGAGCAATAACCATTACTAATTTCCCAACTTCGTAGTCCTTAATCACTTTTAATTTTGTTTCCAGGTCAGTCACTCAATATGACCTCTCACTGGCAACATTACCAGTGGATTTTGTACAGGAGATTAATCAAGCACACAAGAAAATGAAGCAATCAAGGAACATGGTAAACACAAGATTTATGAGACTTCTACCAATCCAAACTTCTGTTTTTAGTAAGTAGAAGGAGCTTACTCTAAAACGATGACAAAAGTATAATAAATACATAACCAGTAACATAGTCATTTATTATGACTATTATGTACTGTACATAATTTTATGGCTATACTCTTAAAGTGCAGTAGATACGTTTCTGCCATAATCACCACAAGCACATGAGTCCTGTGTAGTACTACAAAGTTGCAACAACTATAATGGAACTACCCAATGGAATTTTCAGCTCCCTCGGAATCTTAAGGGACCATCACCATGTATGCTGTCTGTCATTGATTAAAATGTTTGCAGTGCATGACTCTATCTGAAAGTTATAAATCAAGCAAAGAAGTTGTAAAATACACTCCCTCCACCTACAGTGACAAATATACTTTTGCAATGTAGAGGGGAAGAAATTTTCCCTCTGAGGTTGTTCGAAAATCAGACAATAGGCAGGTTAAAAAAAAAGTAAAGGCATATGAATTTTATTTAACATGCACAAGGGAATAATTATAGGAGTACGATTACCCAGTTACCTAATGAGATACAAATGCTTATATACTCTTTCTCAGAGGGAAGGAGAAAGATGGCATATGTAGGCAATTCTTTTGAGGGGTAATAAATAATTACTGGGAGTGGTGATGAATGGACCCAAGACAAAAATCAACTTGTAAACCATTCTTTCTGGAACTGGAATGAGCCCAAGAGACAGACATTTCTCAAAAATCTGTCCAGGTGTGGCTGTATTCTTCAGGCTTTCTTCTCTGTGGTGAGATATAGAGGCTTCAGAGAGGTAATGGAAAGCAACTCTGTGTGTGTGTATATGTTTTAGGCGGTTCAGTCTCAGGCAAAGAGGCTGGAAGGGCAGAATAAAGCCTCTTCTAGCAACTGATGTTTTCCAAGGGCCATCAATTTAAAAAATAAGCATGCCAGAGTGCTGAGTTTAGGGGTGAAAGCCCATCAGTATCCTTCAATAAAATCTGGAAAGTCAAGTTCAAGTCAACCTGTAAAGTCAATCAGGTTTAGAACTCTCAGACCCCTTAGAGTTGTATACCAGAATGTGCAGAGTGGCAACAGCTGGCCCCAGACTGCCCCCATTTTACCCCATACTTGGCTCATCCTGTACCAATTATTGTGCACACCTATAATCACCCTCTAGCCTGCATATTCATGCTCTTCCATCTGTACCTGCAAATAGAACCTCCGAGGTCATACTTTGGGCCTAGAGCTACTCACCCAATAGTGTGGTTCATCTGGGGAAGATAGACCCAGAAAGGAGGCCGGCACAAGCCCAGGAAGTGCCTTGGAGGCTGTGATGGCTAATTTTAATGTGCCCACTTGACTGAGCCACAGAGTGCCCAGATATTTCGTTAAACATTACTCTGAGTGTGTCTCTGAGGGTGTTTGTGGATAAAACTAGCTTCCCCAATGTGGGAAGGCCTCCTCTACTACATTGAAGGCCTGAATAGAACAAAAAGCTTAATATGGAAGAATTCACTCTCCTCTGTCTGACTGTGTTCAGCTCAGTGATCAGTCTTTGTCTGCTTTCAGATGCAGATGTGGACTGAAACTTACACCATTGGCTCTGCTGGTTCTCAGACCTTCATACTCAAACTGGAACTTACACTTTTGGCTCTTCTGAGTCTCGGAGCTTCATCCTTAAACTGGAACTATATCATTGGCTCTCTTGGGTCTCCAGCTCATTCACTACGGACCTTGGACTTCTCGACTTCCATAACCGTGTGTAAATCTCTTTTTACATAATATAAATATTTCTTTCTTTATAGTTCTCTCTCTCTCTCTCTCTCTCTCTCTCTCTCTCTCTCTCTATATATATATATATATATAGGGTCATTTATTGGGTCATTGGAAAACTTACGACACAATTTTACATAGAAAAACACATTGATAGAAAAAGTACATCATGACTTTTCTGACAACCCAATAGGTGGGGACTTCTAAAGTACTAGGAACTGGAGCATTATCTGTAAGGAGGGGTATAAGAATCCAGAATGTGCCACCCCCCAAATAGGCCTTTTTGACTTAAGAATTATTTAGACCTAGTTATTTTGAGAGGTTCTCCTTGGAACTACTTGTACCATATTATTGGTTTCCTCATTAAATGATGAGTTTGAAAAACCTGGCATGTGTTCGTTTCATATTTTATGACAGTGATTTTACCTTTTAAAATTATCCTTCTAATAAGGGCAACGATGCAAAGTGTTGAATACACTATTTGTGGGAAGTTGAAAAGTGTATGTTCTCATCAACAGCAGCAATGTCAATAATAATAGTAGAATTCAAAACCTTTGGGGAATCTCTGGAGTTCGAGTAACATTGTGGAGATTTACCAGCTATGCAGGATGTGGGTGATGAGCAGGAAGCAAATCTTCAGGTGGCCAGCAGGCTGCAGGAAGGCCAACACCCCCTTGGTGCCTGCAGAGAGCTGCATGTCAGGCCCCTGAAGTGCAGAGTGATGAGGTTAGGTCTGAAAAATAACAAATGGCATATTCAGTAAAAGGTATTCTTTTGTAGGGGAAATTTCCATTTGTAAGGTGTCTCCCTCCTTCCTCCAAGATGAGAAGCATGACTCTAAGTCATGGTAAGTGCTTATCACTGGAGAAAGCACCTGACTTAAACCTATACCTAACAAACTTTATTCTTGCTTACGTTGCTTTTCCTGGATATCTCCCCCAGAATAGGGTCTCCTCACACCCTTTTCTCTTTGTTTTCGAGATAATGGTCTGAAGCCTGAATTCCAAGTCACTTATGCCTCTGGTTTTCTCCTACATACCCATGAAGTAGACATATTATTAAGCTTCTGTTTGTTTTTTTTCTTGTTAATCTGCCTTTTGTTGTAGAGGTCCATCCCAACAAAGAACTATGAAGGATAGAAAGGAAATAATTTTCCCTCTCCTACAAGGGCATGGCTCAAAGTTGGCAAGTCAGAGACAGCTAACAAAGAAGTGTCAGAGTAGCCCAGTTCTTAGTGTCTTAGGATCTTCTGCTCTCCCTCATCTCTGGGACAGAAAGAAAATTCTTCCCCATCCCACTTCTGACTCAAAGAAACAAACTTTCACACACAAAAATCTGCAGTGTCCAATCTTACGGTATCATCAAAACCCCTTCCAATTTGTGCCCACCTCCCAATGATGTAATAACACACATCTTTCGGGGAACAGGGCCAGGGAGGCTGTGGGGTTTGCCATTTAAGGACTCATCTGTGGGGTTTGCTATTTAGGGACCCATCTGCTGTTTAGACCTGCTGTGTCTGCAGAATAACCAGTTACACCTTTCTCCTACAGACGAACCTCTTCTGGCTTCCCGATGACTAATGTCGACGTACATTCTAAACAGGGAGACCATTAGCGATGTAAATGGTCATTTTCAGTCTTCAGGAGTTCAGTACTTTTACGTTAATTCAGGGACCGTGATTCCATTGAAGAAAGCCAGCTGAACAACAAAAATATAGGAACGGTAAAATCTTACTATAAAGAATAGTCCTTTAAATGGAATAAATATAGCTTTATGGAAAAACATATTACATTTTATTTTTTACATTTTGCCTAAGACCAGAGAAAACTTGACTCTTTCCTCATTTTTTCCACATAGGTCAATGTTTGGAAATTATGTCTTCAAATCATAAAACGGGAAAAAATTAAAGGCCATTATGTTAACACAGAGGCATGCCAGTTCCCAGATCCCTGGAGTGATGGTGGGAGAACAGCAAGAAATGCATCTGAGAGGCCCACTCTCCAGCGGGGTTTGCTCCAAGCCTGTCTGAATGGCCTCACACTGGCCTTTGACACCGACAGGGGCTGCCCCTATACTTTCCTTTGTTTCCAACCTTGCCCCTCCCAGGTAGAATCTGGACTGTAATCATTTCTATGAGAGATCTCCAAAAAGTTTATGGAAAGCATGTATTATGAAAAAACAATGCACCGATTTCAAATATTTTTACACCAAAATAAACTGGTACTTTTATCGCATTTTTCCATGAACTTTTTGAAGTCCCCTCATACTTTGTCAAGTAGTTTTTTTTGTTTGTTTTAGTTCCTTTTTTTTTCATAACCCAAGCCAGCACTAGAGTCAGCTCTCTTGCACCCTTCCCAACAAAAACCCATCTCTGTCTGCCTGTCCCAGTGGTGCTGTGCTCACCCTGCCTCCCTGCCTTTACCCCTTTTCCCTGCCTGAATCCTCTTCCTTTCCACCTTCCCTAATGCTTGGAGCCCAGTCCGGGTCCCCTTCCCCGGGAACCCACAGGAACTCCTGTCCTCTGAGCTGCGGCCCACTTAACCCCACATGCTTCTCAGCTACCCTCAGCCAGCCTTGAAGGTGTGTCCTCCAGACTACAGCTAATGCCTGTCAGACACCATCAAAGATGTATCAGCCTTACATTCTGTAGAAAAGGACACCTCTTGAGGGGGGTGAGAGTGGAAGCATGGTTCTTACCTAGGCCCAGGCTCCATTCTCCTCCTTGATGAGGACTGAGGCCAGGGTTGGGCATGAACTACCTCTTAGAACAGAGCTTCAGACTCTGCAGTTCGGGCCTTCTGCACCTGCTGGAGGAACCGGCCCAAGACTGCCCAGCTAGCCTGGCTTACCCTACCAGGAGGCTGCTCCTCAGTTATTTTATTCCAAGTTCCTCCCTGGTGCATTTGTTCTGCAAACTCTGGTCACACTCCAAGCCACTGCCTTTGCAGTGCTGGCTGATGCTCTGTCTATAAACATGACAGTCCCAGGGCTATATTAAGATTTTATGAGTCTCTTTGGAAACAGATTAAGAGATTCAGTGTGAAATTCTTCTTTTTTAAAACTCCTCTTTCCCCCTGGCTCCCATCAGTCACACCAACCAGTCCCCAGTTAGCTTCCGGTCCTGCTAGGGGGACTGGAGTTCTGTGATTTGCAAGTTAAAGTAAAGGCTGCTTTTTCAAAACAGATGGAGATGAGCTTCCCTTCCTTTCCATCCTGGCTCACTGTTGGATTAGGTTACTGATCCCATTTTTCTAGGCGCACAGGCCAGCATTGAGGGAGTTTTCTAAATGGCTTTAACAAAGGCGACTCAAGTGAGAGTGTGAAAAGGTGACGAGCTGGCCTTGCCTTGCCCAATTTCAGCACAGTCTTGTGTCTGGAGATGCTCAGTCTTGTGTCTGGAGATGCTCAGTCTTGTGCAAAGCAGGATAGTTGGTGGCCCTAGAAGGGAGGGCGTGTGGCAGAATTATCAAACATTAGAGCCGGGAGAGTGCCCTGGAATCTAGACTAATTTTCAAATAATTTTGAATTGCAAAATCCTTTTTTCAAATAGAAATTTTTGTGTAACACCATAAGCAAATAAATAGTAGGGAACTTCAAAAAGCTTGCGAAAAAAGAGAATTTAAGTACACATTTATTGGGGTCAGCATGTGGAATAGATTTATAGCCACTGAAAATCATTTTGGGATCACCTATGACACAGCTGCAGAACCACTTGGAGGGTGTATGTATTTGTATACATCTCAAAGTTCTCATTTGATTCACTTTAACAATCATACAGGGGCCAGCAGGTGGCGTAGTGGTTAAGGTGCTGGACTTCCAGTGGTCAACCGCTATTCAAGTCCAGAAACCAGTGACTTGAAACTCATTCCGGGCTCCAAGAGGAGAATGGAGGAGAAGGGATTGCAACATGGCCATCCCCCATGGGAGGTGATTCCTCACTTTCTCTCTCTCTGTCTCTCTGTTCTCTGTCTCTCCAGAGAGTACACATGTCATCTCTTTTAAAAAAAAAGTACAAATATATTTTGATACCAAAAGATTGAAATCTATGCACAGTATTTTTAATGACATGCATTTTCCATGAACTTTCTGAAGACTCCCTTGTAAACAAAGAACAAGAGCCTATGGGAAGAATGAGGCCCTGGTCTGGAACACCTGGGCTCCTCTGACTTCATCCATTCCCTGCCCCAAGAAGATGGAGCCTCAATTCACCACAAACTAAAGCCCTGGCCGGGGGATGGGGGCATGGAGGGGGAACTTTGCCATCATTATTATTTAATAAAAAACAAGGTGTCACCATGCTAAGATCCTCTTGCCTCAACCTCCCAGCTGGGACTGCAAGTGCATGTCTGGCTCTTTCAGACATAGTCTCACTACATTGACTGGGCCAGTCTCAAGCTTGTGATCCTCCTGCCTCAGCCTCCCGAGTTGCTGGAATTACTGATCCCAGCTCAGCACCCAGTCTCTGGGAGTACTGGGATTTTAACTCGGGCTTCTCATGTGGTCGCGGTCTCTGCAGCACAGCATCGTAGCAGAGCATCCCACCAAGACTGGGCTTGCCATGACTCTGATGCTTGACATATCGCAGGTGAGAAGCTGCAGCCCAGTGGGGGAGGAGCAGGGAGAGGCTCCCTGAGTTTCACATGACTGGTGCTTTGGGGGCTCAGACTAGAACTCTTCTTTCTTAATTTCCAAAAGAGACACAGAGATGTGGCAGCCCACACTCTCTGGCAGTTCTCCTTCATTCTCCTGCATATTTGGAAAAATCTTACATGTCCCAAATCTAATCTCAGAGGCACCAGCACTGAAAACCCTCACACACAGGTGCTCGCGTGTGCATGCACACTGCCGCTCCCTGGGGCCTGGATTACTCTAACTGGACCCACCAGCCCCATTGCTGGGGATACAGATGGTGAAAGACAAGGAGTGAAAAAGAAAACAGTAGTAGGGACAGGAGGGACAGAGGGCAGGAAGGAGTAGGCTGGGAGCTGGCATTTGGAGCACTGGCACTATCACCGGCTGAGAGCCAAGAGATGGACACCAAGAGAGGGCCCACAGCCAGGGCCCTGAGTGGGAGTTGCTCTGCTTTGGAGCTGTGTGGTCCCAGGCTTCCCATCCCAGAGCTGTTTTTGCTGCCTGTGGACAATTATACACCCTGGGCTGTGGCTAGTTAAGGGAGGTCAATTGTCTTCATCTTTTTTGGGGGTGAGGGGGAGAAGTTTTTGCTATAGGGCAAGTGAGCTCACAAGAAAGACAAGACACAAAGAGATGGAAAGCAAGAAATCACCCCCCAGGGGAGATGGCCACACTGCAATCCCTTCTCCATTCTCCTCTCAGGATCTTAGGCACACACGCACACGCGCCCTGAGTGAGTTTAAGCCACCAGGTCCGGGACTCCAACTGCGGCCAACTACATGGGAGTCCAGCAACATAGCTATTATGCCAACTCCTGGGGGACTCTGATCTTCATGGCTCATTTTGAACAGATGGGAGAAAATGCAAGGACAAGGGTGTGGCCTGAGAGTATAGGACTTCCTGAGACTAACACTGACCTTCCGGAAATACCCCCTGGGTATTTACAAAGGTATGCTCACACCCAGTCTCCAAGTCCTTATGATCTGGCTAAACACAACCTCAGCACATTGGGGTTTGTGTGTGTGGAGGTGGGGGGGCCCTGTTCTCCCTCTACTTCGGAAGTCGCCAGGTGCTCAGCTTACCCTGAACAGGGAAACTTCT